TTCTCCTTCCTGATTAAATAAGTCGATGTAAACACAGACACACACTTTGAAGACGAGAAATATTGAAAAACAATAACGTCGACGAAAATAAAAGAAAAGAGATGAGTTGAAAAAACCGATGAATATAAAAATATTACTCGGAGCTTGCCACCCACTTAAATGCGAACACTTTGATTTTTTTTTTGTTGTTTTAATTCTTTTTTATATTTTATTTCTCATTCTCTGCATTAGCTGATGTCGCACTTGATATGTTTATTGCTTCATTTTGTCTCTTCAGTTAATTTTAGGGACTTAAAACTTTAATTTATGTCAAGCTACTTAATGAATTTTGTACATTAATTTCTAGAGGAATATAAAAACCTCTGAACATATTTTATGGATGTTGCGGATAGTAATCTGCTTAAAATAATGAGGACTAGCAGAAAAATTAAGGTAAACATTGTGAGGATCTTAGAAATAATCATCAATTAAATGTGAGCAATTCTAAAATCAAATCTACTTCAAGAAACACTTGCTTTGGGTCAGACAACAACAATTCTGAATGACATCAAGCTAGGAACCGATACTGTCCTAATTTTTGCACTCCATCATAGCACAGTATTTTTCAAGATATCGTCACACTTTTGCAAACAAACGAAGTTTCTAAGGAAATGAAATTGATATCAATTAATTGACTCATCAACAAGCTATGCTAATAACAAGTCACTAGTAACGATGTTTACAATTCCCTCACAATTTCAATTTGTTTTAATTTCAATCAATACTGCTACCTAAGGTCAGGTAATTAAAATCAAAAATTCTAAAAACAATTATAACCAACCTGCTTGGCAAAGGGTTAGATGTCATACTTGATTTTTGTTGTTGTACTTTAGTTTTATTGGATGATTATGAGTTTTTGTGATAGTTTAAGTAATAATTAAAGAAAAAATGGGAAGCAACTAGCTGACTATAGCTTAGTAATGGTTTAGTGGGAGATTAGACTTAGACACTGATGTTTGTCGAACTTAGTAGGGTCATTTTTTAAGTAAAACCTAGTTAAGCAACTTATCAAACTTAGTAAGGTCATTTTTTAAGTAAAACCTAGTTTAGTAACTTATCGAACTTAGTATGGTCGATTTTTTAAGTAAAACCTAGTTTGTGGCCGTTCACTTATGACGTCCAGGGGGGGGGGGGGGGGGGGGGGGGGGTCAGCAAGAAAAGAACAATAGAAATTCTAGGAAATCCCTTGTTCTTTTTTGAAAAATGACCGTTAATTTCGGACGTCATAAGTGAACGACCCCTTTAGTAAGTAGTATCTTTTAAGTCCTGTCTAGTACTGTACCTACTAGTTACCATCTAGCTACCATCTCAATATCTGATCCCTAACTTTCGTACAGTTCATTAAACTAGCATTTTTAAAAATACACCCATCGATTACATTTTGAAACATTTGATAAAGGCACTCAAAACTTCACAAGAATTCCGATTTCAATCGTCTCTAATTTTGGACTAAAACTGTCGACAATCTTTCAACAGAGCCTCATAAAATAATAATCAACATTTTTTTTCACGGCCTTTATAAATTTTTTTTTATCTAATTCACAAAAAACTTTCAATATCACTCATCAACAAGTCTGATTATACTTTCATTTTCCAGACACGTGTGAAAAAATTATTATGCAATTTAATTATTGCTAGTCAGCAAATCAATCGTGAGCACTTTGCTGTTTCGTATATGTGCGAATTATTACGCCTCTGAAAAAAAGTTTTTTCAAATTATCTAAGAATGTTCTTTGTTTAAAAATGAAGTGACGATGACTGCAAATTGTGAGAAATTGACGTTGGTTATCTTAAAGATAACAGTTGTTAGATATCTGCAGTTTCATAAGAATTGTTTGTTTATAGACTTTACTGAGAAGCTTGTACAGTCTTTAGCGCCGTGATTTTTTAGAGTGAGACGCCATGTAGAATTTTAAGGTTAGGATTTCAAGGTTTTCAGGGAGATTTTGAGAGTTTATTGAGTTTTTAGGGCATATGAAGTCATTTGAGGTTAGAATTCAAACTTTGGAATGGTTTTAGGTTAGAACTTTAATATCTCGAATTTTGAGGTTATGATTTTCCAAAATGGTGGTCGTATGAAAATATTGATCTATTAAAACAGCAACAACAAGGCGCCATAATAGTAACTCTACCTTTATTGCCTCTAAAGATAAATTTAGGGTTAGAATCATGCATTTTAAAACAATTCCTCAATTTCAGGTTAGAATCACACCCTCAGTCATTCTCAAGCATCCATAAATCTTAACAATGCGCCATAAAATGCAAATCACACTCAATAACTTTTTGAATGGTACTTAAAACTTGCTTAATCCATATATTGTTTCATATTGGTTCCTCTTAACTCATTCATTCGCCCTCTATTGTGCAACGTTACTTCTTTTTGATGCCATTGTTTTCATTTCCATGGAAAAAATAATTCAAGAATGAATGTGCATATATCAATAGATGGAAGCCGTCGTTATGACTCAAAAAAGTAATTCACAAATAGCTTTTTCGTATGAAATCCAAGAAAATTCTCAATGTCTCGATATTGATCACGTGAAGAAGTGCAAAAAAGAATCTACCTGCTTAAAAAAAACTTCATGCATGTATGTGTGATCTCGTCTCCTTTATCTATGCTTCCCCTTCACACTCCTTTAATGTTTATTGTTATTGCTCTTTTCTCTTTGTCTTTTTGCTTATATTTTTACTGCTCCCAAATGGCAAGTGTCTCTCGGCTCAGAACGTAATGTTTTGAAATGTATCAAGTGCACTGGCTGCCTTTATTTCTTAGAATCTTTTATTATTCGTAATCATATATTTTTAATAAGCTCATGAAAAATTTACAATGAAGTCGAAACAAAAACCTCGAAGAAAGTAAAGTGTTTGTCTATTTAATGACGATGACAACGACAACTTTGAAGGTAGCAAGACATTCTATGATTTGGAAAGTGTCGTTGAAAAATCGATGTTAAGTATTTTTGATAAATATTTATACTCGAGGTGTATTTAGGATATTTTTTTTGGTGGGGGGGTTGAATGGGGATGGTGTCTTATGAGGATGGAATATTTAGAATGTGGATTCACGCTGACAGTTATGAGTTTAGCAAGGCTTTATAGTTCCTCCAGAAAGTGTCTTTTATTCCTTACTCTTTTGAGGGCTCTGACATAACCTCAAAATGATAGGTTTATTGATATGGGGTTGATTCAGTGACGAAGCCAAGTCCTGGGGCGTATCCTGTAGTTTTTTGAGAAGGGGTGATGAATAGTGATGAAGAAAAGTGACCAAAGTCAACCCCCTAAGCCAAGAGAGGGTTTAGTGTTATTAAAAGTATTTCAAACCGAGAATCGAACCTAACCTCAAAATTAAGAATTCTTTCGACCCACCCCTGCCCTCTACTCTCTCCTACATGCACCCCTGACACACTTCAAGAATAACTTAAAAGCAAATACAGTGCCTTGTTGTTTATGTTCTATTACGAAAAAAAAATGTAATCAATAAAGTTTTTGGGCTTTATTGATAAGCGCCAACAACATCGATTCAAAAAAAAAATTCATTCTCAAGACATAAATGAAGTTCTCAAGGTGCGTCTATTTTGATAAAAATATTGATGACTTTATTTTATTATTTTTTTAACAAAAGCTGAATGAAATCACAAAATTTACTAGGAATTTTGCATTGCAAATAATTTAAATACAGCACTATGTCAATTTTAGAACCGAGGTGTCAGTTCGCACAGCTTTGTGGTTATAGGAATGAAATTTCGCTATTACTGGTCATAGAGATAATTACAAGCTTGTCATTATCTCGTCAAAATAACCGATGTGCAATTATTAACAGATGTGAATTAACATCGAGGATTTCTTTTTGGTGTTTGGGTGATTATTGATGGATATGAGGAACAAACGATTGAATTTAAATAACTAAGTATATCCTAGTTCATCTATAGCTCCCTTAACTGCCCAACCTTACTTCATGCCTCCATATAATCACTAATTAACAGCCTTATACCTTCCACCCCCTTCACAAAAGTTCTCACAGCTTGGATTTCCGATAAATAAATTATTTTAACACATTGCCGAGCTATATTTCATTCGTGCTTATAATGTATGATGTTTAACTGATAAGCAAGTCATGTATAAAAAAAATTTAAAAGAAAACAAAAAAATGTTGATACAAATGAGCGAGACAGGAACAGCCAAGAAAGGTATAAAAAAATTAAGAATGAATTTGAGTTACAAGATATTGCTATGTGCACGAGAAAGGTATAAAAATGGAAATAAATAATAATAAAAAGAAGTGTGATTACACCACAGACATACTGGATAGACCACGAAGAGTAATACAATAATAAAATTGTGATAAGAGTCAATCACAAAAGTCGTGTCAATATGAAAATAAAGAGACCAATGCCATTTATTTATTGTATTTTTTTTTTTTGGGTTTGGAAAGAGGTGGTAATGCCTGCATAATGTCAAATACTGAAGTCTGGTATCAAAATTGAGAACATTAGCCGTTATTTTATGCAAAATAAAATTCAAATAATTTTCCTGTCAATTTTTGAATATTTTTTGACAGTTAATTTTCAAATATTTCATTGCCGTTACTTTTTAAATTTTTATCAGTTGTTAAATATTCAGAACACCGAAAATGCGTCTTCGCCAGTCACAAAAAAAAATTCTTTTCATTCATAAGGAACAGACGAAGATAGCAAAACCGCTAAATACAGGTGTAAAGTTCGTGATTGCTGTTTTGAGTAAGAGAAAAACAAAATCACTGGAACTTTAACAACGTACGAAAAGGTATGTAAATTTATTTTATGATGGATTGTAGTGCGATAGTCTCGTACACACAATAACATGGTACTAAAATACAATTTTTTTTTTATCGCTGATAAGAGTCCGTGCTGAACATAACACACGGTTTTTTACTGAGCAATCTTCATAAACCATAACAAAAAAAGAAAATTTTTTACACTTACCGACTTTCTCAGACGGCTCGATTGTGATGTTGAGGAAGGACTTGAAAAATTCACCAACATGCTCTTGACAGCTGGCGAGATTTTGTGTCTCTACACTCTTTGCACTAACATAATAACTATTTTTGTGATTAATTAACATGAATAATAAATAACACCAAGTAATGCCTAATTTCATTTTCATTGTGCTATACTTTTTATATATTCTCACACTTATAAAAAAAAAAACTTTGATTCACTATTCAGCTTTGCTTTCTTTTTTAATTTCTTTTATAGCTACACGACACGTCCGTTTCTTTAATAATGGTACACTTATAAATTATTATTTTAAGCGGTTTATTAGATATGTGTGTATATAGCTGGTTCCTTTATATATCCACAAGCACTACCTTTTATTTATTTTTCGTTAGTCTCGATAATTTTTAAATTCTTCTTAAATTTAATTTGCAATCGACATCGTTATTTGATGTAGAATTAACACATTCCTACATATCTTCTCCATTTATTTTATTAATAATGTAATAAGCACTTGAACTTTTTTTTTCAAGCTCGGAAAATTTTTCCTATTTTCTTATTCTTCTCTTTCTTATTTTTTTTTTGCTTGCTCGAGACTCTGACGCAAAAATAAAAATTTATTTTTCTTTCTTATCGCACATTAGATGTGTGAAAAATTAATGAAAAAAAAAATTAAATAAAAGAAAAACTGTTCGAAACTGCACTTGTATCCATGTGATTCTTTATGCATTTAAATTATTTACTTCTGTTATTATCTTGAGTATCGGCTCAACTAACTGGGATATTCACTGCGGATTTAAATCGAAATTGAATTCACATCTTATGCTTACGAGACTTAAAAACGAAATGCAAAAAAGATTCATGAAAAGTTTTTGAAGGAGTCGGAGTGAGAGAATTGCGGAGAGATTTGAGAGAGAAATGACTTTTTGGATAGTCGAGTGGATTAGTGATGCTCTCTCAGGTACAAGTTTTGAATTATTTAAGATGATTTCTCTTTGCACTTGTGAGACGTCCCTAATTACACTTGATTTTTAAGTCTTAATTCAGGTAATGATGTTAAAATTCATATTATTTGATTTATTTAACTTTCGCAATTTAATATTCTTGACAAAAGTTTGCTTTATGCTTACAGACATAAGAAATATTGGAATACTCAGAGGTAATATTACATAAATTACCAATATCCTTAATTAATCATCGTGATTATACTCAAAAATGATACATTACATTGTAATTGACTAATTTCGATTCATATTACTTGATACCAAGTTGATAATAACTTTAAAGGTGCTTACATTCTTAAAGATGTTTTCTTATGTTTAACTGACACCTTTTAAAATTGTAATAATGTTGGGCGTCTCCATAACACAATATTTTGTGTCTATGGATTAATAACAGTGTTGCATTCTGGCCATTTGTCTAGATCAGATAAATTCTGAGACAGAAATTTCTTCATAAAGATCGATTCTACATGAAGATAGAAAATCTAATCTACACAAAGATTATTTCTACATAAAGAATCTGTCTACATAAAGATTCGATGTAGATGTCTACAATTCTACATTCTTCTCTAATGTAGACCTGGAAAAAATGTAGAATTGTAGACATCTACATCGAATCTTTATGTAGAAATAATCTTTGTGTAGATTAGATTTTCTATCTTCATATAGAATCGATCTTTATGAAGAAAGTTTCTTAGCTAGACAAAAACTATTGAAGAATCTACATTCTTCACCTAGTGTAGACATCTACATTTGCAACACTAATTAATAATCAATCAAAAATTCGTTAAAATTTCAAATTTTTGAAAGATTGTCAAAAATATTTCAAATATTTTTCATCCGTTACAAATTCAAATTATTTTTGACAGTTTTAATTCAAAATATTTTAAATCGTTATTTTTTTAAAAAAAAATTTGACTTAAATATTTAAATCTGAAAATTTCACAAACCATCGCCAATTTTCACAAACAATCCAAGAAATGAACTTAAAATATAATCAAAAAATTCATTATTCTTAAAATTCAGCAGACTTACACTTCCAAATGATCACAAAAGTCTATATAAGCATAATATCTAATTCATAATTCTTTCATGACTTTCACAAAGTATGACGTTGCATCTTCAAAATCTAAATCTTAAATCTTGCCATTTGACGTTGAGATTGCTTAACGTGATGCTTATTCTGTGTCAATTGATTCATGTCTCGCAAAGTATTCGCAATCAGTCCCTTTCTAGCATCATTAATTACATCCTTTTGACCAGAAAAATGCGATCGCTGAGAAACTTTCTTTTGAGAATCTCGATTAAAATTTGACATAGTCAAATTGTGACGAAAATCTTGTGTATGGGAGCCTTGATTTTGGAATATCAATGAAATAGATGAGGATGAAGATCTAGGAGTAGATGTAGTCATTGTATTTACTGGTGTTTTTAAGATATCATCAGGAGTTTTAAGTCCTTGCGGAGATGCAGCTTGTGATCGCATTTGGAAGAGTTCTGGCGTTATAATATTGGATCTATATAAAATGAATTAGATGAGCTATCAGTTTTACATCATGAAATTAATGCATTACCTATACGCATCCTTTAATTTGTCCATAATAGCTTTTTCACGTTTAGCATTGTCCATTATCTGCTTCCTATAATTAACTATTTGTTTCATTTTCTCTTTTAACTGATAATACTTCTTGCGACAAGAATAATGCCGTTCAACATACTTCTTTACTTGATTCTGCTGGAAATCATGGACCTTGACTGCTGTACTTAAAAGTTGACGGTGAACGTTTGGTTCGAAAAATGTTCTCACTTCTTTTGGAAGATTGGCGTCAATTTGAAGGATCTTACATCTTTTCTTACAAACACTGACGAAAAATAGATGATTAGAGATGGAACTGAGCTAGATATATACATGCTTACTTGCAGACACTTCTATTATTTGTCAAACATCCAGCGCAAAATACATGATAGCAGTTTGTCACATAAAACTTATGTTGAGTATCGGCATTTGATTCAAAGCATTGATTACAGCACACGAAACACGTTTTTGACATGACCAGATGTAAAGCACAGCATTAAATAGCATTAATGCTGGCTTCATAAGTCATTGAAATTTTATCTAATATTCACTGAGAATCACTGTTTTAATTATTATTATGGGTTATTTATGTCTTTAACTTGATTATTGCACGGTTTTTGTAGATTAATTAGCTCTCAATATGAGTGAAAATCGAGTTTTAAGGTCTTTTGAAAATTACTAGTAATTCAATGTAAACAAACTGCAGCAAACTTCAGATGTTGTTGAGATTTTAATTTTTTCGGTTACAAAATTTGGAATTTAAATTATTTGTGGTCACCTAAGCAGCAAACAAGCTTGTCTAAATCATTTAAAAAGCTCTTTTCTTTTATAATAAGCAGAAATACTGCAGTTTTAGATGATTTTTCACTGAAGAGTGTAACTGCTATAAATTTTTTGAATTTTCGAGTTCGAATTGAAAATAGAAAGAACAACAAAGTTGGACATTCAGTCATATAAAAACTCAGTCAAAAACAGAATAATTAGTCATAGAATATTTTCTGTAAATTACACGACATTTAACAAGATTAAAAGTTTTCTACATTTTTCTTTTGCTTGTTCTTCATACAATCTACAAAACTGGGTAACGACATGTCTGTAAACGCAATGGAAAGTGAGTTTTGTTGATTTGTTTTGAATGTCCTTGAATATTTTCTTTATATTCGTAATTTCTTTAATTTAAGAGCATCTCTTCAATCTAAAGTTCGCAGTAAAAGATCTAGAGAGATCAGCAAAGGTGATGTAAACAAAATTTCAATTAATACAAAGTCATAACTGGATCTTTTAAATATTTTAGAAATGCGAAAAAGATGAGAAGCTGGAAATTGCGAAAACAAAAAAGGCAATCCAGAAAGGAAATGCAGAAGTGGCTAGAATTCATGCTGAGAATGCAATTAGACAGAAAAATCAATCGCTTAATTATCTAAGAATGAGTGCAAGAGTAGACGCAGTTTCGAGGTAAATGACTCATAATTTGATACCAAGTTATGACGTCACGAACATACAAACAGTTTTGATACAAATCATATACATTATTTCAGTCGCGTGCAAACAGCTCTAACAACAAGAAAAGTTACAAACAGTATGGCTGGTGTGGTAAAAGCAATGGATGCAGCAATGAAAGGAATGAATTTAGAGAAAATTAGTGGACTAATGGATAGGTTTGAGCAACAATTTGAAGATTTGGATGTCCAAAGTAATGTCATGGAAAATACAATGTCTTCGACTGTTACAACAAGTATTCCTCAAAATGATGTTGATGCCTTAATGCTTAAAGTTGCTGACGAAGCTGGTTTGGAGCTGAACATGGAATTGCCATCAAATCCAGCCTCAACAATTGGATCAACTGTTCAAGCTTCAGCCGAACAAGATGAACTTACTGCAAGACTTGCTAAGTTACGGCAAACTGAATAAACTTGCATGCTTGTACATATTTTATGTCCACTTTCTCACAATGATATTTCACAGCTAATAACTAAAGTTGGATTCAGCCTCAATTAGAAATATCCATTAATGTTGTTAAATGTTTTGAATTACGTTCAAGCTGATCAAAGTTTTGTGCATTGAGGATTTAATTTAATATTCATATTTTTTTATTCACATCAAATACCTAAAATATATATTATGCTTAATATAATAAAACAGACCTAGTACTTTTGTCTTTATGATAACTGGATGTGACTTAATAATTTTATTGATGACTTAAATTATGACATGTAAACCTTAACTTTAAATGTTAGACATGTTGAATTCCTCTTCAATTTTACGGATTGCTTCCTCATACTTCTTAAATTGTTCAATAACTTTCATGACCAATTCGTAACTTGATATCCAAACATCTTTGAAGACATATTTTGGAAACATTTTCTTGATCTCGTCGAAAGCTTTACGCTTTAATTTATCATCTCCATACTTGCTACTCAGCATGAAAACCTCCATAACATTTTCTTGATTTATAGCTTTAAGCAGTTGATCAGCTGCGAATTGCTTCAGTTCCTTGATCTTTAATTTCCCAGCAGCAGCAAAGAGATACAAAAAGTTCGTCTCATTATCATCTGGAACTACATCAGTATAGAGAAACTTCAGGATGTTCTCAAAAATATCAACAGGAATGTCGAGCAAACTTAAGCTCTCAATTTCAGGATTGTTTCTTAAAATATCAGCTATTGTTGGACTTCGAGCAATGAGTAGGAATTTGTGGACATCAAATTCACGGTTTTCGATGAGAACTTTGAAGTCTTTTGTACTTTCCTCTTGAATGCAGGCTTTAAGGTCACCCAAAAGTCCTGTCTGAAGCTCCTTGGTCAATTTACTACATTTCAGCTTTTCTTGATTCAATTCTGACTCAAGCTCATTGTTACGGATCTTAAGTTTCTGATTCTTTTCTTCCAAAATATCTTCTTTTCGGAATGCACTATTAGGCCATGATATTCCAGTTGTTCGGTTAGGAGGTGTAAAACAGAAACCATTAACGGTATTCTTTTGTTTCATTTCATCCATCTTATTGAACTGTTTTGCTGCTCTTTCAGTTTTAAGGGTAATTCCATGCTATAATTTTGCTATAAAATTTTCTTTAAATTGATTTTTTTCATCCTTAGGCTTTACAAAAGTTAATAAGATTTCCACAGGACATGTTAAAAGCCATAAGGTATGTTATTTGACATTAAAATGTCATCTAAAGTGATTATTAAGTCCAAAAAATTATATTTTATAGCGTTACTTGGTAACATTTATAGCGTTACCAAGTAACGCTCATGGAATCAATTTTTTGGACGAATTAACCACTTTAGATAGAAAATTAATGTCAAATCATATACCATATGACTTTTTACATGCACTGTGAAAATCTTATTAACTTTTGTAAAGCCTAAATATGAAAAAAATCAATTTTAAGTAAATTTTTTACAAAAATTTCTCATGGAATTACCCTTAAGACTTTATATTGTGCCTTTATAGCAAATAAATGAAATGAGGATTGTCAACAAGTATAAAATGTCTGCATTAGTGAAGCTCAAAAGCGCATTTTTCTTTTTTTTTAAATGTTCAGTCACGATGTGATATCCAGTTATCGCTTTGCAAGATCCAGTAAATCACACTCACACGTTATCAGATCAATTACCTGATTAATATTACATACTGATTCAAACAACAATCAGCAAGATCACTGGAGTTATATCCTGTAATCAATTAACTCAATCAGCTGTAACACAATCAGATTTCCTTAATTAAACATCCAGATCCGCACGTCGAGATCAAAAAATGAAACAAAATTTTCTGATATTTAAAAAATAGATTTTTATTTGTGAATATTTCAATGCCATTTAATGTAAGTGATAAGCAGAAAAAATGCTTTGATTTCATGGGGAATGTTAAATTAAATTTAGATAATTACAGAGAAAAAACAGCAACAAGAAGATATTCCTTTATACTAACTTAAATCGACTTTTCTTCACTTCCTTTCAGTATATTCAGCTAATTTGAATATATTATAGCTTCAAACAACTTATATTAATTGGGATGTGGAGTTGTGGCTTGAGATTGCTGTCTTTAGATGGATTTAATAACTCAAATTAATCCTAGGATCAAAATTTAAATTGACTTAGATTAAAATAAATCCGATGGATTTAAATTGCAAAACACTTAAAGCTCAAACCTTATCCAACATCCCATCAACGTGATTATTCTTGTTTTTTTCCCGTTACTTCTTTTAAAAATAAAAAAGCTAATCAACCAAAGCTTTTAATGTTTAAATTTTACACAACTCATGTATCTCTTAATAATTGCGAACTTTAAATTATACAATACAAATAACTCAATTACCAGCATTTACATAATACGGCATATAGTAGCATAATATATGAAACTTAATTAATTTAAATTTTTATTTATAATTTCAGTTTTAATCCCCCAAAATTAATAAATTTCTTACTTTTTCTTAAAAAAAGCTGATTTTCAAGGATGTGCTTAAACTTGCCAGAATTTACTTTACTGATCATTAATTTTATTTAAATTTTTTTTATAAACCCAACTACCGCAAACTGCTTTTAATATTCATTCAATTCACTATAACTAGCTATCTAGCATTGTTTTAATTAACTTTTTTTTATTCCATAATCATTCACTCATTCGTTTATTTGCTTTCTCTTTCGGTCATAATTACATACAAGATAGATAAATTAAGAGTTTTTTGATGATTTCAGGGTGGTCGAGCTGTTGAAAATGCAGAATTCGATGGTAAATTGGAACTGAATTCGTCCCAACGTGAATTTTTTGGTAACCGTTAATTTGAATTTTATCGTACTTTTTTGAAACTCAAATTTTCGTTGAAAATTTAAATTGTATTTTTCCGTTAAAATTCAAAATTTCCAAAAAATAACGATTTTTCATTGCAGCATCTAAATCATTCCAAAAGTAAAGCTCGACACCCCTGAACTATTTAATTCTTCAGATTTTAAGTTTTGAGCTGATGTTGTTTATTTTTGTTTGTCATCATCAAGCATGACAAGCAGGAAAGTAAATGATATAGGGAAGTGATTCCCAGTTTTCTTAATTAAAAAAAAATCAGGTTCCTTACAAAAGATTAAATGCCTCAACCAACTATAAAAATTGTTCTCTTATACATAATGAGGAATATGTTTTTTTTTGTTACAATAAAAACTACATAAAATGAGTGCAGTGCATGTTCAAACAATTTAATCAAGTCGCTGTACACTCTTCTTTGGTATCTTATCTCTAACGGCATTCGGATATTTTCCTTAATAATGGCAACAATAAGCCTAAAATTTAGTTCGTATGGCCCACACTCATTTCTCTAGCTTTTAATTTTATTAAGCATTTTATTTTTGTGTTTTTTTGTGTCGATTACTTTTGGGAAATTGATGGTCATTGGACTATTCTAACTTGGAACTCTGTTTTTCTATCTGTCAACGTATACTAGGGTCTTCTACATTGAGCATTGTCTTATTATTGAATTTTTTTTTATCCTAGTTAAATGATCTTGGATTTATTTTAATCCAAAGATATTAATGCTAATCCTAGGATTAAAATCTAAATCCACAACTTACCATATCCCCAAATCGACACCATGATTCCTACATAAGCTTTCATCACTTCATAATCATTTCGTCGTTAAAAATGAAGCCCAAAACATAATTTATAGTCAATCAATAAAGGAGCAACAGGAAGTGGAAATTAAAAATGTTTTTGACACAAAATATAAGCGCACAAAAGCTTTCATTTATCTCTTAATAACTAGGCTTCAAAATTATGTTTCTATGACGTGAAATGTGTGATTTTTATAGTCACAGATGAAGGAGTCATCATAGAACATGACAGGTAAATTGATTTTTTTTCTTACATAATTTAATTTATATATAAATTGTGTAGATCTCATTGTACAAAAACAAAAAATCAGCTATAGAAAAATCAATAGAAATGGAGAGAATATTGTCTAAAAAAACATAAACTTAATTAAAAACTGATGATAATCTTGATAATCCCGGTGAAAAATGCTTCGATGAAAATGATTTTCCTTCTTGTTCCTTATTTTCATACAAAATAAAGTATCATTCTTATAAACTATTGTGTAGAGCATTTATTGAGCTTTGATTTTGTTGCTATCCAAATGTTTTGGTTGCTGTGATGTCGTTCCTGACGTTACTGGTCTTTTGCCTTTACGTGCATTATTCGATAAGTACGTGAGATGGAAAAAGCGTGCAAACAGGATAAAGTAACTAGCGTACATTGCTATTGATAGTTTAATGTTGGTCCATGAGATGTTACAAGCTGCATGTCCGGTTTGTTGAAGGAAATCATATGCCCAAATGTTAATCGCACATCCAACAATCATTTGTGTCAATTGAAGGAATGTAATTACCATAGAAATGAATCTCGGTGGATTAAATTTCAAGGCTTTTAATGCATAGTAGGTATACATCAAAGAATGAACACAATAATTCATAACAACAAACCACCGAGCTGATGCTGTATATTCTTGATATGAGAACCATGAATACATCAAGACTGTAATGTGATGGTACCAATGCAAGAAGATAAGTGGCTGTTTTCGTAGTACAATAAATATTGTATCACCAAGTTCAGGCAGTTTCGACAGTACAAACACCCATGTCCAAAATCCACATACTCTGTCATGTTCAATATAGCTGGAAATAGAAATAAAAAAATAAGAGAACTTATTAGTTTAATTTTGCTGATGTAAACATACGCTCAAGTATTCAAATTCTATCAGCAATGACTCTACAATTTTTTTCAAAAGCTAATTCTTCTTCACTTTCTAAAATCATTGTCTATATCATCTCCAATATTCGTTTACAGAATAAGAAATTATCGAATAATAAAAAGAAATGAATTTGTATGAATTAATTTAAGGTTTTTGCGATTAATGCGCACTTCTGACGTAAATTGTCGATTGAGGCTAATGATCTTGAACATTTGCAGCAAGTTGTAAAATTTGTAATTTCGATCTTTGTGATAGTTTAACGACTTTTTAAAATTTAAAAAAATAACGCTTTTCCAAAATTTAAATCTGTGGTCGAAAAATTCAAATTTTATTTTAACAGTTTTTATTCTAGCAGTTTCTAGCAATATTATTTTAAGTGTTTAAATCCTCAATTAAAAATCAAATCCTCATTTATAAAACATCTTAAAACGGATTAAAGACATCCCGTCACCAGATCAGCCAATTACCCATGCAAAAAATCCAATGCCACATTAACTTTGCAACAAAAAAATTGTTAAAAATAAGAAGTTAAAGCTTTTTGACTCTCCATCATTACTTTATGTCTTGACGTCAATTGCTATTCTTTCCTGCTTTTGTCTGTTTTTAAACTTTTCAACACTAATTTCTTTCATACAGAATACTCAAAAACATTTCGGAGTTTGAAGGTCATTTAGTGCCATGTTAAAAATAATACTCGAGAATAATAAGAATAACAAAAGTTAATTACAATCACGCGTTAAGAAATAGTCGTAGAGAATTCGCAAGTTGTAATGATATAGAAGCTTTTTGATTATATGGAATTTTAATTAATTAAAACTTAAGAATTATGAAGTTGCTAGAAAATGGATTTAGGAAATTAATGGGAATTAGAATTGGGGTGTGATTAAGGTAGGTTATAGAGCTATAGCTGAGAATTTCAATTCTTAGTATTAAATCTAGTACGATAATGACTGGTCTAGGTTGAATCAAGTAGAATACTAAACCAAAATTTACTTGGTGTTACAGAATCTAGTTTCAATCTAGTACAAAATAAAATAATTTGAATTCAAATCTAGTACAATATTGAAGAATCATTCAAAAACTAGTCTAAATATGATTATTTTAATGTCAATCTAGTACAATTCTGGAGTATTCTAGTACAACATAAACAGACATAATTAAAAATCTAGTACAAAGCTTGATAAATCTCCCCAGTTGATTAAACCTTGATTTTTCGAGACAACCTTAAATTTTCACAAATTGCAAAAAATAACAAGTCAGTCAATAGCAATTAAACTAATTAATGCATAACTTTTTGTGAATATCAATTAATAAATGTCATTCTTGATGACAAAAAACAGAAATCATTGACGCAAATGACTAGTTCGCCTGATGAAACAAAATATTATTAATGCATGAAAAGCTTAAATCTGTTAATGAACAGCGATCAATTAAATTAAGGAAAATACATCAATTTAAATTTATTTGCACATTTCATTCGGGGTCAAATGGATACTTAAGACCTCTGAATGATCATCTTATAATTTTATTGATTCTTGTACTTAACATCCATACACAGCCACAGAAGCAGGCAAAACATATTATAATTGCGGTTATTATTGACGTCAAATATGGTTGAGAACAGACTACCGCCATTTCGTTTCGGACTTCTTCGAAACTAATTTCGATTTCTTCGATATTAGAGCCGAAAATTCAAATTTCAAAAAACAGTTACATTATGTAAACAATAAATTATTTTAATTAATACCAATTCTGCACAAATCCCAAAGTTCTTCATAAATTATTAATTTTATATTTTTTTTATCTATTCTCAACTTTATTAACAATAAAATTTGAGCAAAATGAGTAAGTGCATGTTAAAATCTGGTTTAACCGTCAAAAATTTTTGAATATTATAACGGTCATAAAAATATTGAATTTTTTTGAATACAAATTTAACAGATGTTATATGAAATGACGGTAGTCTGGTTGAGAATATTAGCATTTTGCGGTTTTATGAGTGTGTGAGAACAAGAACATATGCCTGATAAGACATGATTTTTCATGCATATCCAAAAACTTTAATAAATTTTTCAAAACCAAAATAGTTTGTCACGAGCCGGATATTTTTGTATGTAAATTGTTCTTATCGATTTCTTAAAGGACGAAACAATGAGAAAGCAATCAATTTTAAATTATAGCTAAATCGATATTTAATAGGATTCATGTCAGAATAGACAAAAAGGTTCATTGCAAGCCTTTCAATCTGACAGCGACAGCATGATTGGAAAAAATTAAAAACTATTTAGCGAAATTTGATTATTCTGGTGAAATTGATTACGATGGTAAGCTGTGCTTGTGGATTATTATAAACACGATTTTCACATCTGTTAATCAAGACATGAGGAAAATTATTAGTCATGCTTCAATATTTTAGGAATGGAATTACCATAAGTTTAACACATTATTTTTCTATGATGATTTTTTTTTCATGTTCACGTGCTTTAATGTTTAATTAAGATCAATAGACTTTTGGACGCTTTTTTAACTCAGTCAGTTGACAAAATTGTTGAATTTGAGGCGTTAGATACCTACAAGATCTAGGTTTAGTATCAAACACATTTAGATTTGATTAAACGACCTTAAAACCAATAAAAATGGAGAAAAAGCTAGAAACTGTCAAAACTGATTCTCAACCTCTATATAACATCTATCACGCACAAACCCTTCATCCCCTCACAAAGAATTAATTCTCAAATTCATTAAAATCTGCTTCGCAACCTATTAAGCTCTTTCAGTTTATCAAAAGCAATAAACACAACTGTCATATTCACAAAAATAAACATTCGAGTCATACAAGTCACACTTAAAAGTAAATTAAATCAACAAGTATTATAAAATACTTCCGATTACATAACAAAAAGTATGATAATCGTTTTATAATTCTGAATATTAAATTGCTTGTTCCCTTAATATTTACATTTCTTTCTAAAAACGGTCAATGATTTATATTCCTGATGACGTCAAGCAAAAATATTTTACGACCTTCTTGATTTAAAATTGAAATATTTCTTGATTAATAAATGCGAAGAATGTAAATTACAAATATTTTCTTTCCCTTTAATTGTAATTGTTCATCGAATGAACGGACGTCAGGAAGAATGATGATGTCATTCAATCAGATTGCAATCGTCGCGAGAAACTACTTAAAAAATTATTCTTTGCTTGCGTCATTATCAATTCTTGCAAGTCATTTAAGTGAGCTCAGCACTTTTTCAAGAGACAATTGAGAAGAAAAAAAGAATTAATAAGTTCTTCTGGTCGATTGGTATTATTATTATTATTATGATCGATAATCTGAATGTCACGAGTTTGAGCAAATAACTTTTGTAGAGCGAAAGATGCTTCAAATCTGTGAGAGAATGTCATGCGAGATAATAACAAATAGTGTAGACTAAACAAATCGTAAAGTTTACTTTTTGAACGATGAAATTTGAGGAGTTAAGACTTTTACACTTTAAGATTGTTTGCTGTAGTTTTAAGAATTCTTAAAAGAGTTTCATTCAACTTATTAAGCATTATCTCTTGTTGATCAACCTAATCTTGTCAAAATTGAACTACCTAGTGCTTAATTGGTATAGCTAATTTAGCTAGAGAAACTCTTGTATTTACCAAATGGTTCAAATTAATTCAAAGCTAGTAGTTTTAGTCAAATAAAAGGTATGTAACCCAACCAATAGTGTTAAATATTATTCTAAGCTAAGATTGAACCTCACTATTGACAAATTAAACCATAATAAATAATTAAAATCAGCAAAATCATCAAAATAGAAAATTAATCCCTTCCTAGTTGATTTTAATCTTAATAAGTTAAATTAATTAACTCAATCCTGACCTAAGCTAACACAATTACTGCAAAAATGCACCTTATCAATTTTAAAGCTTTACTATAAACATATGTTGCTTCAAAAGTACCTCAATTAAAATTTTTAATCTAGCTTTAACCTTAGAACAAAGCCATTTTTAAAAATTTCGATTCCACGCTTGCTCCACGCCTTAAACTGATAACAAAGAATTAATTACACGCGATGGCATCGATCATTTTCAACTTTCGACATCTGACTATAATTAAGTGCGAAGCTCGATAACAGAAATTAAATAATAACATTACTTCTAAGTACCGGCATTATTAGACTTAATTTGTATGATTATTGTCAGGGATGAATTTAGGAGATGTAATAGGTGTGGATCTAGGTTTTAACCCTATAGGACCATAACCTGAATATGAGAGAAGCAGTTAAGTGCCTTGCTGGTCGAATAGGTAAGGCGCTTGGCTCAAATTTGGAATGGTAACTCGAAGGTCGTCGGTTCAAATCCAGCCATTTTCAAATTACTTCTTTTTCAGAAGTTTAGATACTTCGACTGCTTAATGTACGAGATCAAGTCAAAATTGGTCATTTTGGGCAACGTTGGATTTAAGGAACGGATCAGGAACTTGAAGTGTAGCGGGAGAAATAGGAACGAGAGCTACGAGATTACCTTATAATGGAATATTGTCAGAACGGACCTGAAATGTATCACGTCACGCCCACAGAAAATTGAAACTAGAGCCTGAATTTAATCGAAACCTAGATTTGAAGATTAGAAGCTTAATTCTACGTCACCCACAGTGATATGAAATGTATCACTAATCAATGTAAAAAGTAAAACATGTATAAATACTAATTCTTCCGGACGGTAACGTCGACAAATAAATAATAATAATATGATGATGATAATAACCTGATAAACGAGAATACCCAAAAATTACGCAAATGAGGAAACCTAGAAATAACCATTAGTATTATGGAGCTAACCTCAAGCAAACTTTCCGAAAATGACAAGAAACCAACCTATATCTCCACCTCTGCCGTTTAATTGCAATTATTTAAATTTACAAGTCCGAATCAGCACGTATAGAACATCCAAATGACAAAATGAAATTCCAAAGAATGCTTACAAGTGCTCATTGAGCAAAATTTACTATCTGTCACTAAACAACTTTTATTGCATGTTTCTAAATATTTTGTTAAATGCAAACGATAGTAAAAAGCATAGGACTGTAATTTTATAGTATTTTAAGTATGCGACCGGTGACTTATGTCATTATGAAATCGGAAAACTTGAAATAAAAGCTTTTTAAAGGCAGAACAACAACAAACAGAATGTTATCACTGATATGCCTCGCATAATCATTCACAAGCGATTGCGTTTAAAGTCCAAAGAAAATCATGCGATTCTGTATTTCGAAATGCTTGTGCCACCAAAATCCTTAATCGCTGAAATTTTTTATAAACTTGTTATCAATTATTTTATAACACTTTTTTCAATTTTCGCAAACGGACTTAAAAAGAACCTTGAACCCAAGCTCATATCAGCACTTAAGCAAATTCCAATGAATTCATAGTTATTAACTCAATTTGTGTGACTGTCTGGTTGTCTAGATGGATGTCTGAGTCATAAAGTATGAATATTACTTTTACTGCTTTATGAATCGGAAATTGAGAGGAAGAGAGTCGTTAAAACTTATTTATTGATTCCATTGAGATTTTTTGTTTGCTTGTTTTGCAGTTCCAAACATAATCTGTGACAAAAATAATCAGAAACAGAAATTTTTGTGGTCTAGAAATCAAATTGGGACACAAACTTATTTTTCATTTCAAACTAGATTACACTTTATTGGAAGCAAATGAACAAGTTGAGAGGTTTTATCTCATTATAACTGTATTGCATTTAATTGCTAATGGGAGACGTCTTTTTATGCAATGGATAAGTATTGCCATTTAAATTAAGTAGACTTTTTACGTAAGAAAATTTTAAACTGAATTTAATGAAAGGAACTAGTTTGAGCTGATTATGGGAATATTTTGGCATCCATTAGAACTTCTTTGATGCTCTTCCGTCTTTTGAATTGAATGACAGACGATTTAATATGTTCTGTTAATGACTATAATACTTCCATTGACCCCCAACCCTTTAAACCAAACAGAAGCCATACATCCCCACTTTTTAAGAATTATTAGACTTGTAATATTTTTGAAAAACGATGTAATATAATAAGGATAAACTTTGATTTTTACTTCATGTTTGACTAGCTACTGATCGTCAAGTTACATAAATAAAGTAAAACTTTTATGGATTTGCTTTTGTGCTGATTTGAAAGATTAAGAAATGTAATTTCAGAAGAGCTATGAACATAATATGCTATAGATAAGTGAAATTAAAGATTCCTAATCTATTTAAATTCATAACAACGATGTTTATTCTTCAGTGATCAAAGATAGACTTAATATTTCTATGAAGAGGTCTAATAACCATAAAGGGAGAATTAAACTAATTCATGTTACAAATACAATTTCAGTTGTTATAATCTCAACAATATCAGAGTTTGAAACAAGAAGACTTTGCTTCAAATGATTAAAGCTAGTGAAAGTCTCCTACGGAACACTTTTAAGCAATAACTTAACTCATCAGCTTACGAATGCATAGAAAAGTAATCATTATAAACCAGAAATACAGTTCAAAACTGTGGAGCAGAACATAAATTAGACTTTTAAAAACCTTTTAAGGTGCTTGAATATAAATGTTATCATTAAAATATTTTAGATAGCTTTCTTCGGATCTTATTATTTACTTTAAACTTATTAAATCTTCAGGCATGCAGCATTACTGGAAATCAAGTCCATAATTAACATTCTTCATCGCATCATTTATTTAAATGTACAAAAAAACATTTCGATTTTTAACCTTTAATTAACCGTCAAAACCTGATGGATTTTTTGTTTTTAAAAGAACTGGTAAACTTAAAAATGATTTTTTATCAAGTCAAACTGCATTTAAGCAGAAATAATTAGCATATATATATTCGGAGAATAGATCAGTAAGATTAGTTCTGTGGTTGAAAAATGACAAGCTTCATGGAAAAGTGTCATGTAGCTTCAAAAAAACATGTACTAAATGTAAACGTCAAAAGTTGAAGTAAAACTTAAGTGTTAAGTAAAACAAATACAACTTACCTAGGAACACACACAGAATGGAATAGGCCATAATTTTTCAAGACATGAATAAGTTCCGGTGCTGTTCGGAAAGCACCCATTATACTAAACATTGCTAACATTGTATTCCATAATGCTAGAAGTCCTCTTAGTTCGAATCTGTAAATTAAATTAAGTAATAATAGACATTAATTAATTGAAATTATTTTTTATGTCGTCAAATATATTGAATTCCAATCACATGCGTAGTTCATTATAGCCAGCATCGAGTCACGATATTAACACATTTACCCACATTTTTAATTTTTTTTGAAAAATTTGAATTTTTTTCAGTTTTACTTCCCCAAACTCGCACACACTCACTCGCTTATTATTACATAATTTAATAAAAGCAGTTCAATGGCACCTCTCTCACTCTCTCCCATTCATTCACAGATATTGTAAGGCAAGCAAAAATGGTTGAGAAATTTTTAAAGGAAATCTTCAATTGATATCAATAAAAATTTCATTTAATATTATCTTTTTATACATTGATAACTACAGCGCCAAAAAAAGAAGGTGTTGGCTTGTTTATTTATAGAAACTTTACGTATTTTAGTTTGTTGATTGGTATTAACATGTTGCTTGCGGTATTATTAAAAGAAGAAAAAATGGAAAGTGTAATTAAAGGGTCGGTTTGATTGATCATCGGACGCATTTTTGAGGTGGACTGATTGACAACTGTGTGAAGCAAATTGTTGAAATTCAGTAAGTTTTGGAATGTTAACGATACATACAATTTTTATAATTTTTAACGTTTATTGAAGTTTTGAATTTTTAACGGCTTTACAAATTTTGAATATTTAACGAGTTTTAAATTTTGAATTTTTAACGATTTTTAAATTTCGAATTTTTAACGAGTTTTAAATTTTATTACCACGTTTTTTTGCTTTCTTATCTTTTGGTATTCATTTTCCAACATCATACTTAAGAACTATATCACAAGCATCAGCTGTTCAAAATGAATATTCAACGAATTAATCAAGCTATCCAACCCCTTTCAAATCCCAATACATCCATAAAACCTTAATTTATACACATAAATTCCTTTCAATGTCCTCTGTAAAAATGACAAAGTCAACACATTTGCTAAGCAAAAAATGCATGTTTAGTCAGTCAAAAAAACCTTTCGATTAACATATGCATATATGTTTCCCATATCCAGCGATCCATCAACAATAGCAACAGACAAATTACGAAGAAAAGAGAAGAAAAAAAAACCGGAATAAAGTTAAAGTGGAGAAAATATTCATTTTAGCGAAAAATAAGAGCCGAAAATAAAGAAATTCGATAGGTATTAATTGATTATATAACATCTGACCGAGATATGAATGAATGTAATAAATTCCCTAGCTTAACATACAAGATTTTTCGTATGCTCGTAACATACATTTTATGCACTACCCAAAAAAAAACTTATTTAATGCGTTGAGGAAGGCAAAATGAGCTCAATAAAAAGCTTTTGTGACTACTTTGAATGCACATCTTGCATCATGAAATTAAATTTTTAAAGTTGGCTTAAATGACGTAAAACTTTCAAATGTCCATAAGCTTATTCAACTAGTCAATAGACTCAGTAATTGTCGGAATGAGCAAATGATTTTTTTATTTATTTTGTTAATTACTTATAAATGGCAAAATATGTCAATTAAGAATTGAGTGCTTTATTGTTCAGCATGATAAAAAATTCATTAATTCTGCAATCATCCTGAAAAAATGAATAAATGCAAATTTACCAAGTTTCTGGATGAAGGAAGTAAATACATTAAATCAATATTTTCCTTGTTCTACTTTACATGAAGTAATGAACTTTAATGAATGGCTACAAAAAAAAAGAGAACAATTCCTTGGAACTTGAATGATTCATGCAACGAAGTTTTATGACATTTCTGAATATAGAAATCGATTGGAAACAACATTCGGGAATTCCCAATTTCAATTTAATCTTCTTGAGTCTACTTGCGTCAGTAAATTTGACTTTTAATCTTTCTTTAAGCTATTCTTATTCAGATATCTCCAAATTTTCCAGAGTTTAACTTTACAGACACGTTTATCGATGTTCTAACTATTTTGTACAATAAAAATAAATTAATATTTGATCAATTGCTACAAAAAATATATCCAAGATAGCACAACAAGTGTTCAAATGTATAAACAAAATTTAATCTGCAGTAATCGATATTTTTAGCTCACGCATTAACGAGATATGAAATTTTGCAGCAATAACCAGCTCGAAGGCATTAAATTCGATATGATTCATTAATAAGAGTAAGGTATCGAGATAAAAACTTAGGAAATGATTCATTTTGATAACAACAAAGTCATCACCTTGATAACGATTACGAATACAATTTTTTTCTCAAACCCCTATAGACAGATAGCATGACACAGTTATGGAATTTTTAATGAAGCTTTTACGTGATCACACCACAAAATTTTGTGCAAATATTTAATTAAGCTTTTCAGTAATGATTAATGGATTATCTTTAGAATAAATTCATTTACTTTTTGTTTTATGAATGAAGCCGCTATGTTTAAAGTGTCGGTAGTAGCTAAATTTAAGGTGGTCTGTAAAACTTTAAAAATCTAGAAGTTTTGAGTCGTTGACAAGCTTTTAAAATTTGTTCAGAAATTCAGTTCATTTTGAATTTTTTGGAAACCACTGAATTCTGAACTTTTGAAAACCGTTAAGATTTAAATGTTTGAAAACCGTTAAAATTCAATTTTCATTAATCGTTAAAGTTCACACTTTTAAAAGCCGTTAAATTTTGATTTTTTTTAAAACTGTTAAATTCGAATTTTTAAAAACCGTTTAAATTTAAATATCTGATATCGGTTAAAATTTAAAATCCATCAATTTGAGTCTTTCGAAAACTTTTAAAATTAAATTTTCCATAGTGAATATCAAGTTTAATCATATACCCATTTTACCACGTACCCATAAAATTTACATTCAAATGATTTACTCTGAACAGCACATATGCATCCAGTTAACCACCTCGATACGGACAATCGAAAAAACTTTATATTCCCATATCATAAGCCTTGAATTCAACAATTCCATTTTACATTCAAATTGATTTTTTTCCCCCATTAATACATGTCTTATCAACAGCTGTTGTGAAAATTTATACAAAAGGTAATGTTCATATAAAAGTATCTAAAAATAAATAAATATGCTGATAGCGTTTGATGGAAAAGCTCACGAAAAATTGGGCTAGGTATGTTTTAAGGCAGATAATAAAAAAAAAATATGAGATGGGATTATGTAAAGACTTCCTATGAAATGCTTGTTATTGCCAAAAAAAAAAAAGTCACTTACATAATCCACCTCATTTAATGAAAATAATCTCTTAAATTTGTAATGTTCAAGTCCCACTTCTTTCACGCATACATAAGCAATTTGAGGATAAATGAAAAATTCAATAAAAACAATTCACTGATAATGACTTGAAGCACATGGATTGTAGTTTTTACGAAACACGTGATTTCCCCGTTGTCGACCCTCTGCATTTATGTGCTCATCAATTTTAAACTATCTGCAATTACTTTTTCTCTTGTTGCTGCAGTTTTTTATCGTTTTGCATTCGTGATGACTGAATTACGTTCAATGTCATCGACGGAGGGGGATTTTGGACTAGGAAGTGGTAGCTCGTTGGATGTTTAAGGTTTTTGGGAAATTTTTGCTAAGTGCTGAGAAGCTTTTGGTTTGGAATTGAATTTTTAATCTTTAGATTAAATTTATCTTTGGTATCGTTCACTTTTGACGTCCAACATTAAGGGGGAGGGGGGTCTGAAGCTGTGTGACACCTCAATACAATATGAAAATTTTGTGACAGAGGGGGGAGGGGGTCTAAAAATATCATCTTTTGATGGACGTCATAAGTGAGCGGCCCCTTTGGAAATTCCAGAATTTATTCATGAACCGTTGGATTTTCAGACTCGCCCGCCCCCAATTTGATAAAAAGCATTAATGAGATGCAAAAAACAGACAATCAACCAAAACTATACAGCACCAATGCACGTTTACGTACTCAAAAACAAACATTAAAGTCCTCATTTTTACCGAGACACATCGTTGTCTATACAAAAAAATTGCATATGCTACTCATTACTTCATGCCATTCACAAGTATGTGAAAAAAATTCGTGGAATTTCACATGTTTACAAAAAAAGCTTTTTTTCCGTACCTTAACAATAACAATTCATTTAAATTGATGCGTTTATGCATTTTCGAGTGCTACCTTCAAAAAATAAGCAGTAGTTTTCCGGGCATGTTCTTAACTTGAAAACATGTGAAATATTCATATTTATTTTAATAATGCAATTCAGTTCATGGAATGACTCAATAAACGTTGCTATTAAAATATTGACGAGCAGTACTTCAAGTCAAATAATCGGTTAATATCTTTACAAAAGGAGAAAAGAGTTCAAGCCGTCCGCGTCATTCTCACATAATTTTTTTCGTTCCGTCTTTCTCATCTCAAAAAACATTTTTTTTTGTGTTCCTCTCAAACGCGAATCATCCGATTCACAAATACACGAAAAGCGTGTGTTTGAGATATTTTTAAAACATTAACAAGACGAGCCGAAATTTCTTTAGCATTATAAGTATGTATGAATGATTGAATGTCAATGAAATTAGCTTTTTTTGGGGGGGATATGCTGAATATGTATACACTCGGAATTGATATTGAATTTTTGTTTAATAAACGTTTTACACGTTTTCTGTGGCTTTTTGCCTTATTTACATTCGTCTGTTTTACTTCTCTCGAGAGATAATACATTTGAGCTATGTTTACGGTCAACACACGACATCACAGATATTTCTTATGATTTTATCACGGTATTTCGCACTGAACTTCACATGAGATGAATATAAGCTTTTTTTTTTTTGGAAATTAAGGCAGCAATTGCGTAACTTTAAATATCTCCCTATTATTAAACAGACAGACAGGCATGACTCCGGACATGATTATTGATTTTTTTTTCTCTTCTCTTTTTTGTCATTCACTCTTTTCGCACAATAAACTATTACTTCATCCATACGTGCCTTCTTTATCGTCAAGCATGCTTTTTTTCATATTTTTTACATACCTAGGTCGATTTGCCATAAACTGTTGACCAACAAAAATGACAAAAATATAAACGCCCGAGTACCTGTGCGAGGGAAATTGACATTAGCAATAGACAGAATTAATGGACATGAATTTGTTGATGATTCTTACCAAAATACATATGTCCAATTGTTTTGCATCCATACTCTTGTTTTTTGATGAGTAAAGTGTGCCTCGAAATCAAATATGTATGAATAATTGGGCTTTACTTCACTAATATCATATCCCCATCTCGTCATTGCATCCATGTCTATTAACTCTTTTTTTTTATAATACACTAATTAATCTGATAAAAGTAAATTGATTGAAGCCAGCCAGCACACACACACGATTATCTGCAAGGAATTGAAAGAGTTTCTTTTATTAGTTTAATGGATGTTGACAACAGAATTTTTTTGTTTCGGAACCGGTTCTTTTAATGAGTTGCTGATTAGAATGAAATTTAATTCTGACCAGTCTGACAATATGAACACGTTCTGTTCTTAGTATAATTAACATATATCCACACGAAATTAGTTAAATTTTTTTTATATCAAATATTTTAATATCATCTGATTTTCTTTTATTTTTCGCCCAATCAGTGCGAGTTTCTAATCTTTTCTCTAATGTGAAACTCTTTTGTGCTTGCTAATTTCCTCATAAATATTTTAATGATTAATCATATAAGTTCACTTAAAATAATACATTTGATGCTATGCACAATCATCAAGTCCAATGTAAACAGTTTTTAATCATTTATTTAAGTCCAGAAAAATTGCAACAGCCGGTTCCTTGCTTCTTTTTATTCTATATTCTCTCTTTTTGTACCGAAAAATCGATTTTCTAAATTTTTTTTGGCTTATACTTTTTGATTTATGCTTAATTTAAGAAATTCATGAAATATTCACGCACATAAAACTGTAGACAATCTTCTCGCGACTCCTGTATTGTTGATAAATTCACAAATTTTAAAATTACTACTTAATTTAACGAAGAAACAACCGTTTTCTCGCGATCTATCGACTGAAATGATTCAGATGGCACGGCACGAAAAAAATAGGCAGTGACTTCTAAATCTACAAAGTGCGCGGAACTAAAGATTTATATTTTATACAGCCGTTATGGTTTTTAAGCAGGTTTTAGTACAGCTTTCTATTTCTTTGAGGGATTCTTTGACTTTATAAAGGATGGATTTTGGGTTTCAAAAAACTGTATTTTAAGGATCATAAATGCTTTGGACACTGAAGTTTTTGCTTGAATCGTTATAGCTGGATAGTTTGACTTCAGTTTTGACATATCAAGGAACCCAAAATAGTACAGACATTAATAATTTAAAAACCATTTTACTATTTTTCTACCTGCAACGTCTCAAAAATATTCAAATCTAAAACAATCGTTCCTTAAAATTAATTTTAAATCTAGCAAGATTAATTTAATTACATGAGATTAAACACATATGTAGGCTATAGATACAGTTCAGACTTGTATAGGTAGTATATAATCTAAGAATAGTCTCTTGCATTCAGCATTATTTATAGTAAATTTGTCTGATCAAGTCATGGAGCAAGCAAAATTATCAAAAGCAACTGTCTCTAAATTGAGATCTAAAGTAATTAAAATACCTGAATACAATAGAGATGAGATTAAAGTAGGAATTTTCCATTTTGGAGTAGGAAACTTTCATCGTGCACATCAGGCATTAATTATGGACAGTTTGTTTGGAATGGGATTGTGTAAGGATTATGGAATTTGTGGAGTCGGTGTGTTGCCACAAGATGCAAAGATGCGGGATGTATTGAAGGAACAAGACTATCTCTACACGTGCATTGAAAAGTCATCAAATGGAGATTTCAATTATCGCATTATCGGTTCTATTATTGACTATATGTTTGTGCCTGATAATGTAAATGCTGTTATTGAAAGATTGTGCACGTCAGATGCAAAAATAATAACATTGACGATCACAGAAGGTGGCTACAATATTAATCCACTGACAAATGAGTTTGACTTGTTGAATGTTCAGCATGACTTGAAAAATCCCTCAAATCCTAAAACTGCATTTGGTATAGTGGTTGAGGCACTAAGAAGACGAAAGGAACGCAATTTGAAAGGATTTACAATCTTGTCTTGTGACAATCTTCAAGAAAATGGGAAAATGGCCAAAAAAGCTTTTCATAGCTACGCAATAGCTCTCGATACTGAACTAGCTGATTGGATGCTCGAAAACGTTACATTCCCAAATTCTATGGTCGATAGAATCACTCCAGTCACTACTGAAGATGATCGTAAGCATGTACATGAAAAATTAGGTCTAGTTGATGGATGGCCAGTAGTTTGTGAAGATTTCATCCATTGGGTCATTGAAGATCATTTTGTGGACGGAAAGAGACCACAATTTGAGAAGCATTCAGCTGTTCAAATAGTTCAGGATGTCGAGCCATACGAATTAATGAAACTGAGAATTATTAATGCTGGACATCAAGCAATTGCTTACTTTGGAATGCTACTTGATTATAAATATGTCCATGATGTCACTCGACATGAATCAATCGCAAATTTCTTAAATAGCTACATGGATAAAGAAGCTACAGATACCTTAAAGCCTGTTCCTGGAGTTGATTTAATGAAATACAAAGCTAAGACTGTTGAAAGATTTCAAAATCCAAATATTTTAGACACGTTGATGCGCTTAGCCTTTGATGGTTCCGACAGAGTCTTTAAATTTGTCATTCCAGTCATTGTAGATCGTGTTAAAGCTGGTCAAAGCATCTACTTAAGTACAGCAATTGTTGCAAGTTTCGCTAAATACTTGAATGGTCAATCAGGAACTGGAAAGCCAATTGAAGTTGTTGATCGTGCAAAGGCTAAATTAGCAGTCCTAAACGGCAAGTTGTTAAAAGATCCAACTATGATAAAGCATGAAAGTGAATTATTTGGTGATATCGTATCAAATCCAGAATTTGTTCGTGTGTTTAAAGAGATTTATGACAAAATTGGAGACTGTGGTAGTGAGGCTACTCTGAAGTGGTTGGTAGATATGAAATAAATGACACTTGATTGCTATTCAATATGATATACTTAAAAGAATACAATAAATAAAGGAATGAGATAATCAAAGCAACATTGTTGAGGTAGTTTTAATGATGGGGGTGTGTGTGAGTGGGGTAAGAAACACCCCTCGATAAATCCTAATATAATCTTATGATTAAAAATAATCTCAAGTTAAATCGCACGATTAAAAATATTAATCTAATCTTAAGTTTTTAAACTAAACCCAAAATCTACGGATTAAAAGTTAAAACCTAAATCTAAGCAATTGTCTAATTCCGCTCTAATGTAATTCTGAAATCATCACGTACTCAGCCTCGTTGATGACCCCAAAATAATTCCAGTCTAGATTGCAGATTCATTTTTGATATAATTCTCTAATGATAATTCATAAAAGACTTTTATTTTATATTTTACTCCAAAATACACATTTTTAATTCTAATAGATTAATATTAATAAACGAGTGTCAAAGAAGAAAGGAGCTCACCAATTTGTTTGTTTTTTCTCTTCGAAAGATGTGTTAAGTTTTTAATGTGGCAGGCGCGAAATTAAATTCCAAACAAATTATAATTATTAATTTAATTCATTGGTACTTGTGGCTCTATATTAGCACTTGGATTATTTTGATTATTATCGACAATGTTATCATTATTGTTGTTTGCTGAGTTTGTCAATGCTAGTCTCCGTCGACGGAAATACTCTTTAGCCCTATCGATTCGTGTTCGATTACGTTTTCTTAATGGACGAGAATTTGTTGTCGATGAATTTTTCTTAGTTGTATTTAAAGTAATTGAATTTCTGGTAATTTCCGATGATGGACCTGCTTGTGGTTGTTGCTGCTCTGTTTCTCGAGGAATGTTAACAGCTAAAAATATGAGCATTAGTGGATAGAAGAGAAAAAGAAGAGAGAAAGGTCAAAAATAGTGAAAGTAGATGTGATGTAAAGGAGAAAAAAAAATTGTTGGTATCGTCTATCTTACTTTTACTGTGCTTTCCTAGCTGCTTTATGTGACGTTGAAGAACTTTGTGATACTGTTTCTTCTTCAATTTTAATTCAAGTTCTAATTTTCGCCTCTGTCCTTCAAGATCTTTAATAACTGTGTCTTGATCTTTTTTCTGCTTTGAGATTTCTGACAATTTCTCCATTAAATCATTACTTCCAATATTCGTATGTTCTGGTAAATAAATGCGATGCACCGTACTCCTCGGACAATTTTGTCTGCATTGCGGGCACGTGTGATTACTGCAAATATACATAGAATCACACGAATAAATTTTTTTAACACATATTGTCAGACAAAGGGCTTATTATCATATTTTTCATTGGATATACCTTTCTAGCCATCGACTTAAACATGAATCTAGAATGAGACGATGAAAGAAGAAAAATCATTAAAAAAATAGTCAATACTGATCAAATGACATGGATTTTTATGGATATACTATAATTATGCACTGTATCATTAACAATGAAAACTATTTCTATGAAATGTAAAAATATTGAGAAAAAAGTATTTTAGAAATTTTAATTTAATACCATGAAAGATGTGCCCACAAAAAGGTGAACTGATCGAATCGCTGATAAGAAGGATATCAGCACAAATAGCACACAGCAACATTGTTTAATCAAACTTTTACCAACAAATTTCAATTTTTTTAATTTTCTTTGATCAATTTTTCTGTAATACGAAATACTTTTTATATTTCCAGAGTTGATCTTGAGTCAATTGAGGAACTCCTTTGTTTTTGTTCAACTTGATTGATTTCTATTCACTAAATTCACTTTATGGGTCTTAAAACTGCTTAATTAATAATAAATTTCGAATGTAAACAAATTTTTAAAAACATGCAAAATAATTTCTTGCGTTTTTGTGATCCAATGTCAATTATAACTGAGATGACTTTTAGATTTTCACATTTTTAACAACTTTTATAAGCTTTAACTGGTTGGTTTAAAAAAATTATTTCAATTTTAGATATAGTACATCAGAAAACCACTTGGAACGTTTTCATAATGTTTCATTAATGACTTTTTTGAAATTTTGTTTCTGTAATTTTTTCATGTCTCTGATTTATTCTAGTACAATTTTTGAAATGTTTTTTAACGGAAACTTTTAAAAACTCATTCCTCAAAACCGTTAATTATAAATCACATCACAAGCAATTAATTCTCTTGAAATATCTTAACAGTAATTAACTATGTCAATGTTATCTGCTTCAAGGTAAAATTTTATAATCTCGATAACATCAACTCTGTGAAAGTTAATTCAAATGTTAAAAGTTCGTTAAAATGTGTCACATTGATAGCTATTGTATCTTAGTTCCTTTACTTGCTGATAGGGCAGATTTTCATCAATAAAAAGTCATAAACAAAAACAGAAAAGAATCAGCATAAATAAATCAAAAATGCAGCAGAGCACAACAAGTTTTAATACAATCAGTGGTGATTTTGAGTGCTTCCAGAACTTCACCAGTTCTGAAGTGTTTGTTCATCAATTAGCTGGTCTTACAAATCCAAGCGATATTAATCAAATTATTAAGAGTCAAAAACAAATGTAGGGAGACATGTTTAGATACATCCAGTAAATAATTTTATAAATCCTTTCAGGCTTCAAAGATTCGAAAAGACCAATGAGATGCTCCTTAACGTCAATGCATTAAGCCAAAATAGACTCAAAAATGTCACAGAAGACTATAAGAAGCATTCAAAATTATTAGTAGAAATGAAAAAGGATCTCGAGTATGTCTTCAAAAAAGTCAGGTACATCAGGGGTAAATTAGAGAACAAATATCCAGAAGCATTTGCAGAACAAGCAAAAAGAGAAAACACACAGAATTTAGATGAACTAGATGAGGAAAAGGAGGAAAACATTACGTACGAACAGCTTGAGTCTATCAAAAATGAGAATGATCATGTCGATAGTGCTCTTGATGCTTTAGATTCATAAAGTCATTGGATATGCTTTATATTGTAATTTTATTCATCATCTGTCTATGTTGTGATGAATTGACTCAAACTGAATGAGATTTTGGTTTTGAATTTACTAGTTTTTATTAAGTTGAGATATTTGATAAGGATGCTCAGAGTAGTGCGCTGTGCACGGATACAGAAATTTAAACAATCATGAGTTATGTAAGGGGCCGTTCACTTATTACGTTCGCATTTTAGGGGGGAGGGGGGGTTTGAAAATTTGTAACAAAATGTAACATAGGGGGGGGGGGTCAAGAAGTATGTAACGTTCCAACTGTTGTCTGTCTTTTAAAAAAAGTTCACGAAAAAAAAATTGTTTACAAATTCACACCAAAAACATTTTTTTAAATTTTCCACCTTTTTAACGATAAAATAAATTATGAACGTTCAGGGGGGGGGGGGGGGTTGTGAATTGTAACATATTGTAACAAGGGGGGGAGGGGGGGGGGGGTGAAAAAAGTCATTTTTTTGCGTAACGTAATAAGTGAACGGCCCCTAAGTGTTGATCAAGATGACCGAAATCGTATGCTTGACACGACTTTAATATAAATTGAAGCATGATGTCACTAATTTATTAGAGTAACTTTGCCTGATTATAAATTAAAATTAAGTTAATAAATTATTGCTTTGCTGAATAAAAATTGTTTTTGAATTTTCCCGCAACGAGCTCTAGCGTCAAAATTCTCTCACCAGATGCCGTACCTTAAAAATGACATTGTGTTGAAACTAAGACCAAGTAAGCTAGTTGATCTTAGACATTCGAACTGATAACATGTGTCGTGAGAATTTTTTTTCAAAATAATAAAGTTTAGAAAAGCAAAATAAAGGTTTTAAGGACATTTTTTGATAACATTTAGCTAGAAAATAATAATAAAAGCTTTTTATAACGTGAAAACCTTAATTAAATCGCTCTAAATCATCCATAAAGCTTGTGTTTTCATTCGTGATTTTCAAGGGAAGAAAAATAAAAATATTTCTTATTTTTAAAAAATTTTAAAATTTGAATTTACATAGAACGAGTGTATTTAGTGATTGTCGAATGATTAAAATACCAAAAAATTGTGAATAAAAATCAGGCAAAAGAGTGCAAAAAAAGTGAACATAAGAAATAAGAAAAATTATTGATGAGAAGAAATTATTGGAAAAATAAAAGTTAAAAGAATTGAAAAATTTCTCTAATTGAGTGCATTAAGTGTAATTTATAAATAAATTACGTGCCAGATTGTAAAACAAGAGAGTAGCCGCTATAAAATTTCATTTTTTGGATTATATTATAGTACGCTTTCATCAACATAAACCAACATAATAGTAAAAAAAATCTCTTTTTTGAGCGCAACAACAACACAACACGACCACTAACACATCCACAAAACGGCGTGTGTAAGGACGCAGGAATAAAAAATAAAATAAGGGAAATACAACACGGTAAGTGACTTCATTCATATGAGGGTGCATTAATTGAATTTCGTTACTGGATGTCGATAATGAATGACTGTGAGCAACTCTTGTGATTATTAATAAAAAGCGGCAATATTGCTTTAATTGATTGAAACATTTTTTTTGCAAGGATTCCCCCATCCTCCAAGACTACCACTACAATTAAACCCGATGCTGCTTTCACATGGACTTTTTTTTCATGAAAATTGAGGAAATTTTTTTTCATCTTCAATCGTCACACCCAAAAAAATCACATAAAAGGAATGAAATTTCACAGAATGTTTGTTGAGGTATCATTTGTATATGTTGAGGCTAAGTGCTGCTTTTGTTCAATGAATAGAGAAAAAAGAGGGAACGAACATGAATTTGCAAATTAAATCGTCAATTGCTTGTGGCTATGAAAAAATTTAGACATTAGTTGTGAATCTGTGCGAAAAAATATGTGATTAAAGCATTATTATTTCACTCTTTTTTCGGTATGCAGGTATTCAGTTGGAAATGCTTTTCAAAAAAAATGTAGGTCATTATGAGCTTCATTATACGGTATTTCTTTAGTTCTACATTCCAATTATTTGTATACCAACTGATAACAGAGAAATTGTAATATACAAATTTCTATTTTATTCTTGCAACTAGTGTCGTTATCTAGATGGGCTCGGAAACTGTAAAGGCTTGCCTGGCTCATGTTAAAATTGTTTTTTTGGGTTAGTGCTGTTGAAAATGTTGTGCAATAGATTCTGTTGTTGTTTTGTATTTGATTTGGTTCAATTACCTCGAATGGACTAGATTTTGGAGTGATTTGTCCTATAGGACTAGATTTTGACATATAGATTGATCTTGCACTAGATTATGACACCTAGATTGATCCTATACTAGATTTAAGATCCTTATTTTGCTCTAGATTCTGTTTTAATCTCTAGTACGCTTCTAAATTCAAATGCTTTACTCTAGTCCTTAGTTCATTGCCTAACACAGGCATTTCATATTCAACATACTTGATATCTCCTTGTACTTGACCTAGCCAAGCATCCAAACTAGCATCTCATGTACATAAACATTCCCCCTTCAAAATGCCTTATCATCAAACTAGTTCAATCTCTTTATTTGTTTTCTGTTTTCATTTTTTTTCATAACATTTCGACCCTGAATACTCTCATTTCTAATTCCGTTAGACACGCGTCAATCACGTGGTAAAGTAGTGAAAATTATGATAATGCAAGCATAAAAATTTAAATAATTCATGAAATTTATTTTATTCATCGACGAATCAAGTCAGTACATCATTTTCCTGCGATAACATTTCGACCTCAATCAGTTGATTAAAAAAAGAATTCGAGTCATGCAGTTGTTGTGTCTCTTTAATCTCATATGTGATGCTATTTGTAACAATGAGTTTCAGATGTGTACACTTTTTTCTGTATTTTTATATTGTGTGACTCACTTAACAAAATAAGTTCATTTTCATTAGAAAAATGATTTTTTTAAGCAGATGAGGAACAAACAAAAAAAATATTGCAGGCAACGAAGAGGAAGATGAGATTAAAATGAAATTAAAAGATTTTCGCTGCTCCTTATTTTTTGTTCATTTCAATGTTTGCACAAAAATTTATTTGACAGCTCCAGATGCACCATAAAAAAAGCATAATGTTGATTATCGTAGCGTACGCTCACGGGTCAGGGGTGTTGAGGGTAGAATAAAAAGTAATACGGCGCCAAAGTTAACTCTTTCGGAGAACAAGTCATGATTCATCAACTGATTTTAAATTTTTGCTTATTTTCTCTTGCCAAGACCTTGCCTTCGTCTCAAATTGTATACTTTACATTGAGAAGTCTAATGAAAGAAACTTTAAATCGAAGCCAACGCAATTTAGCTTGTATGTATATAAAAAAAACTGGTTTATTAACTTTTCCTCACTCGTTGATGTCATATTTTGTATTCATATTCTCTCTTATTTTATTTTTTGCAATATATGTGATTATTTCTTACGAAGATCAGTACTTTCAAGATTCATTTTTATGACATCAGCGGATGTGTGAAAAATGTATCGTGAAAACGAGGAGAATTGAATAATTTATTGAGACTTTTTCCGCAAAAATTCTCTTTTCTTCCACCACCCATTCATCTGTATCTTCAAGCACTTCCACAATGTGATTAATGACTTGCTATAATAATGAATGATTTTTCTCGGTCAAAAGCTTCGAATGTGTAGAAAAGAAGAAAATGCGAGCAAATCCTTTTCTTTTTTGGTACTTTGGGGCTTCACATAATTCTATTCTCTCTTCTGATTCCATTTTTCACAACATTCTTTATCTATCGAGTTGCTTTTTTTCTTATTGAAATGTTTTTTATCTTGTACGGGTATCGCAGAAGGGTCAGAAGAGTTCACAGCTTTGTTCCTCTTTTTTATAAATGATTTGACCGATTTCTCATGATTGCTTTGTGTACGACTTATCTCTCATATGTTATAAATGTGTTACCTTGTTTTTTACTGCCCATCTTCATGGTTCAGTTATGTTATAAACAACACCAAAAAAAATTAAGACTCTTTATGAAATATATATATTAAATAACAATACTATCGTAGTTCATCTACTTATTGAAAAATCTTTTGTTACTGTTGCATAAGTTATTAAGTATTTGTACATTTGTTTTCTTGAGTTATTAACTACTCTGTATGTGCTATATTACATGAAAATATAAAGCACTTTGAAGTTTTTTTCGTTGCTTTTATGAATTCTCTGACTATAGCGCGAAATTCCAATTTTGTAACATCACAATGTATAGTTTTTTTTTCAAGTGCTAATTGATGCAATGTTTATGGCTATCTTCAGGGTTTGAAATGCTTTAAAATTGTTGTAAACCTCTTCCAAAAAGTTAATGTCCTCAAAATTATTATTTTAAATTTTTTTGATAACCTTTGTTTTGTGTGTTGATAATTTCGCGCTTTTGATTACAATATAGACACTTTCATGGCAGTCTGACTAGTCTTTTAATGAATAAACTTGTAGTTTTGCTAGAAGAATGATTAATATGTTGGAATTAAAGAAATGATTCAGAAAAACTTGATTAATTATAGGGCCGTGGGGGGGGGGGGGGGGGGGGGGGGGGGTGTCAGCAAAAAAGAAGAAGATTTTTTAAAAACCGTTAAATTTTGTATTTTAAATGCTCTAGATATTTCATTATAAATTCCTTCCAACACTGATCATTAATATACTAACTTATACTTTTTCACAACAAACTATGCTACAAATTCAACTAAATCAAAACAAACTTAAAGAATCATCTAAACATCCTCGTAGAATGTCAATGAACACATTTCAGAAATATTCATTCATCAAATGTAATTTATGAAGCATTTCTGAGATGGAATTTTAATTATCTGTACCAGATTTATTATTTTTACTCGTGCACAATCTGTAGAATGCTGATAAGCTCCAAAAATAAAACATTTTGATAAGTTCATAAATTCATATTGGGGTCTAATAGGATTTTTGACATCTTGTAAGAAATTTGTTTTTAAACTTCCGCTGTGAGATATTTTGCTGTGTTCAGCCTTCAACAGTCAGTGCAA